GGACGCACAGTGATCCGCTCCCTTATGGCCATTCATATTCGCCGACCCGTGACTGAGAATCTGGAGTAGGTGTCAGGTCTAATGGCCGGATTGTGCTCACTTATTCAGTAAATTCGTCTTTTTCTACAAAACTATAGTTTTTGCACAGAGTGGTGGGGGGGGGTGACTCAGCTCTCCGGTACGGGCAAAATGCAGTGGTGCCTCCAGCGATGAGGAGGACTGAACGCATCTTGAACAGGGGTCTTCAAATCGATTGGTCAGTCTAGTAAAGTTGAAGTCTGACAGAAACTTATCCCACCTTTCTTTGACCCAACTGTGCAGAATCCAACGGCCTCGGTCGGATTCGAGCCCGCGTCAGCATGAATAAAGCCTCTGTGCAGATAATATTCTAACCTTCTGAGCTACGAAGTCCCACCAGGAGCCATGTTCTAATCACACATGCGTCGAGTTACCTGGCTAGAGTACTGCAACATGTGAAATCCATAATTATGATACAGTAAGCTGACTGCCTAAACAGGATATCCTAAGCAAGCCATCTTGAATCGAACAGATGGCTACCAGACGCAACCAAGTAAAAAGAGGTATGGCAGACTTAAAAAGTTCATTTTAGTAACAATGGTATTTTATCGACAAACGGAGACCACAGCCACGAAGCTTTTCTGCCTTTTTGGGCTTCATCAGGTGGTGGTTGGTCAAATACAGTGTAGCAGTGGAAATTGCCGCCACGCTCGAGTTTCGAACTCGCGTCTCTCCGGCCAGGGGCGAACGCTCTACCCCTTGAGCCACGGGTCCGCCGTGTTGTCGGTGTTTGATCGGGACTATATGTAAAATAACATTGTCACTAATAGTTAGCGAGTAACATATACAATTGGGGTTCCAATTAGCTCACAACCATGACAATGAAGCAGGATGGGTACATCCTGAAACAGATCGGAGTAGAATTACCCAATAAAGCTCATTTTATACAATTTTAAAAACGTCGGCGGCCTCAGTGGGATTTGAATTTACGACAACAAGGGGAGAGCTCCCGGTTGGGCCTCGTAGGTCAGATTACTGACCTGAAGCGTCCCCCTGATAAGGCTTTCTTGTGGGGCCGCCTAATGGCAAAAGTTTCCCCACCCAAGTTTCTTACGGAAATCGTGGTTAAAGGTTTAATGCTTGATTAGGGCGTAGTTATTGCGTGATAAGTGCACAGTAGGAAATAAATTAAAACCGCTTGTAACTGTTTTACTGAACTAAAAATATAGGTGAAGAGCACGCGGAAAGAACAAAATCGACCAAAGTAAAATCTTGTTGGTTAGCAAAGGAGGCCTATAGACCAATAACAATGTTAGAATACCTCCTATTGGGTATCATAATCAAGAAAGTTTTTGGATAGGCGGAAAATTGATCTACTGAAAATTTGGAAGATGCTTTTAAAATTATTAATCACAGGCAAAAGCGGCCTCACAAGAACGTCCTACCCTTCCCATTTCTTCCGTTAGTTCGAATCCCACAGAGGCCGCCAACGTTTTCGTGAGATGAATCTACGATCTCGGTTGGAACAGGTTAGCTTCGAGTCCCCATTGCTGGTGGAAGGGCCGGGGGTTGTAATAGTATTACTGGAGTTATCAGGTGGCACATAGGCGTGGATGGGGCTAGTAAGGGCCGTGGTGTCCACGGCAGTGGCCGTTGTGATCGATTTGGTGGTCGCGGCAGGTAGGGTTGTGTCGATGGGTGAGGACGGCGTGGCATCGGGTGGTTGAGTGTTCGT